CTTTCTTCTCTGAGCCTCTGTCTCCTCATCTGCAGATAGGGACACTAGCCCAGATGATCCCCAGTGCCCAGGCAGCCTGGGCATTCAATAGCATTAGAGTCTCTGCTTTGGTACCACAGAGCTGATGGGCTCTTCCTGACCTCTCTGGGCATGGACAGCCTCGCCCACTCCTGGGAAAGGACCTTCGGGAAATGGATGCTCCTCCTTCCCAGTCTCCATCCATGGAAGTCAGGCTGCTGCCTCTAGGCCTCCCTGACAATGTTCTCACCAGAGTCACTGGTGACCTCCATACTGCCCAGTCCAGTCCACACTTTGGGCCTTTTTTTTTAACCTCTCACAGACACTGGGCTTGGCTAACTCCACAGTTTGCTTTAGCCTCAGAAACACCACACTCTCCCAGTGTTCTCCCACCTCTCTGACTGCTGCGTCAGCCTCCTCCGTCTCTGTCTCTCTCACCCTATCATCGTGCCGCTCCTAGTCTTGTAAGCACAGGTCGGGTGCTGGGTTCACGACCCACCCACCACTGTCACCACCAAGACCCCACTGATCTCCCTGCCCCAGAGCTAACTCTCACCATCCCAGCTGCACAGGGACCTCCTAACCCTGGGCTAGGGAGAGGCACACAGTCTTCCAAAAGCCAAAGAGCTTCCCTTCAGGCCAGAGCATGATGTCAAGCACTGTTGTGCTTTTACCCCCATAGCTACAGTTGGAAACACCCAGGACAGGACAGTCAAGATCCAAACCTGGTGGGATGAGATGCACTTACCCAAGGGGAGCCAGCATTAGCTGTGGGCACCTGGAGTTCCCTTCTTCGCACATCTTTTTTCCTTAATACTAATCACCTTTCAACTTACTATATAATCAACACATTTATGATGGTGGTGTGTGTCTGTGTCTCCCTGCTAGAATTTAAGTAACACAGGTACAAAGATCATTGTTTTCCTCATTGCAGGATCCCCAGTACCTACAACAATACCCAGCTCATTGGAGGTGCTCAGTAAGTATTTGTTAAACCAACTCAAGAAAGGATTGATACTCTATTGGAAGTGCCTGCGTGACCCACTGAGTTCCCTAAAGATCCAGCCACCCACATGCAGAGGCCCCCCCTGAACCCAGAGTCCTGAGTCTGAATAGCATCCCCATTCCTAAGCCTCCATTCACTAACCCCAAAGCCTCAGCCTCCATTCCTGAGCCCCGAGTGAGACCTGCACCCCTCAATCATCAAGAACCAGACATAAGAGCTGCAGCCTCGACTGAGTCATTGGGGAACATGGGAGCCTCCTTTGGTCGGAAATTACATCTGTCTTGAATCTATGACAAAACACCTGCCACCCTTACTGGTGTGGCTCAGTTGGTGGGGTGTCGTCCCTCAGAGCAAAACTTCAATTCCTGATCAGGGCACAAGCCTAGGTTATGGGTTTGGTCCCAGACTGGGATGCACATGAGAGGCAACTGTCCAAGTTTTTCTCTCACATTAATGTTTCTCTCCCTCTCTTTCTTCTTCCCAATCCCTTTCTCTAAAAAATTAATTAATATTTTTTCAAAAAGCAGCTGCCCAGCCACAGGGGCTGAACCATACCCGTGGGGCAGCCCTGACTGGAAAGCATGGGTGTACAATGCTGAGGGGAGTCCCCCTCCGAGGCCTGTAAGAGGAAAAAGAGTGGAAACCCTACTGGGGAAGCCTCAGGGAGGGGTGGGATTCCCCCTCAGAGGACGGCTGAGTCCTGAAGGCCCCCATTTCAAGGGAGACAGGGTCTTGCCACACCTTTCCTTTTAACGTCCCAGCTCTCAGGTCTACGAGTACAACATGCAAGCACAAAGTCCAGCCCCCTTTGTAAAACTTTTATTTAGAAATCTTCCCAATATATCCTTATATATATACACACATCATCACCACATGGGTTTTGTCACTAAAGAGTCACACGCCCACAGTGTTGGCCTCTGGGCTGTACAAAGGTCAGGTACCTGGAGCGGTTACTCCTCTTCTGCAGAAAAAATGTGGAGACCAACATAATTCATCAATTCATCACGTACAGTACAACATTGACGGAAAGTGCTGGGCCCGCCCACAGGAGCACTGCGCTATGTACATGGGCAGGGGCAAGCCTTCGGCAGGGGGCCACGTACCATTGACATCACAAGTACGACCAGACCACCCCCAAAGGCCGAGATAGTTGTCGACTGACTACAGACTCTGTGCCCTTGGTTTTGTTTTTGGAAAAGGATAAAGGTTGTACCATCTTGTCGTTTGCCACTACACATAAAAGAATATAAATTTTTCTTAAAAGATGGGAGTCCCTCCAGTCATTTTTGTTCTCCTCGTGTTTTTTTACCTTTCCATGTTTTCCCTTTAGTACAGATATTATTCTTGGAATGTTGCCCTTTCTTCATGGGTGAGGAGGAGGCAGAGGAAACAGAAGGGTATGGTCGGGGGGTGGTTGGAAATGAAAATAAAAAATGGATCTTCTCCAGTTCTTACAAAGACCTGAAGTTTTCTGCCTCCCTATCCAGGCCTATTTTAGGTAGTTGCATCACATTTTACATATTCTGCCTGTTCCCATATCTCTTATCCATTCTTGCTCCTGTACCTTGCCTTAGAATGAGAGAGAAATGAAGTCAATCATGAAAAAATTAGAACAATTTAGATCCAGTAACTCAGGCAAAAGTGTTTTAGAACCTAAATTCCCCAAAGCTGTGTAGTCAGGCAGACTGGCCCACCTCCTAGGTCCTAGACTCAGGCTGGGAAACCCCACTGCAGGACTGCTATTGAGGACAATGGAGTTCTTTACGGTCTCAGAATGCTTCTACCTCCATGATTCCATTCAGCCCCCACCAGAGCCCTAGGAGAGAGGCGAGCCAGGATAGTGATGAGAAGTAGACACTCAAAAGAGACAGGTTGTCCAGGCCACTGGGTCTGAGAGAAGAGGAAGCCAGGAGCTTGGGTTCCTGGTATAATGTGTGATCCGTCTTCCAAAACCCATCCACACTGTGGCCCCAAGTCAGGTTCATCTACCAGGACGCACATGCAGCTTTAGGAAAGGTGCTCCATCTTTAGACAAATGGGATTCCTCACAGGAGCTTCCAAGTACCAGAAAGGAACCACTCCTAAGAGTCATTAAAATATGATTCGGGGGGCTGACATGGGACGAACAGTCGGAGTGCTCCAAGGGTTAACCACAGTGCTCCCATCCCCACACCCCGCACCTCAGAACTTAAAAGGGAGGGGAGCAGGGATCATATGGCTGTACTAGGCTGCACCCGAGGCCTCATCACAGGGAGGGCAAGCCCTGAGCTGGAACCCAAAACACGTGAGACCTTTCCCAGCAGCTGCAGCCCCGGTTCCTCCACATCGCCACAGGCAGGGCAGGGCCATAGGATCATTCCCTTCTGACCTCAAAGGCAGAGCCTGGTGGAGACAGCTGCGGTGACTTGAGGGTACAATGACAGGTATATAGGACTTGTGTGCAGTTTGTTCCGTGGGCTTGAAATGCAGGTCACAGGCAGGCCTAGCCTTAAGAAAACCATGTCCCACCACTTGGACTGACACAGGAGATCAACGAGGGGGCAGTGGTCCACTCTACAAAAGGATTCTTCACTTACAAAAGGACTCGCGGTAGTATTTCTTTAAAAGATGAAGGATAAAGATTTGATTTACAAAAATGTCATGTACAACTCTTGGAAGGGGGCACTCGTATTGCATTAAGCCAGCCTCCCATACACACCCATGACGACTGAAAGCTACGCAGTGAGGGGTGTTTAAGATTCTGCTAAGTGAATGTGCATATGTTTGGGTCTCAGCTAAGGCCTGGTCTCCGACTGGATTTCCCATGTCCTAGAAGTGGGACTGGATCCTGGGTAATATCAAGACCTAAAGATCCCACCAATCACTGAATTCAAGGGAAAAAATCCCAAGTGCCAGGGGGAAAAACCCCCACAAAAACCCAAAGGGATTCCTAGGACAGTTTGCGCTCAGTTCAGTTCAGAACGCCGACCAGACCATAAGCTAACACACACCCTGAAGCAGGGAGGTTCCTCTGAGCATGCTGGTGAATGCACAGGCAGGGCTCCCATCTTCTGCCAGCACCAGCACAGGCCCATCCGCACACTGGCATTTGCTCACTGCAGGAACAGGGATGTGTAGCTGAGAACAGAAGCAGGTAGCTCGGAGACACTGCCAGGGCTTGGAACCCACGTGCCCCAAATAGCGCTTGCTCAATTTCCTCTAATCATTTTTCCTTTCTCTGCCATCACACAACCCAAAGAGCATGCTTACAGCTGCATACTTGGTTCCCTCAGCCACAAGGATTGGGAAGGCAGGTATCAGTGGGGAGAAAGTAAAGCTTCAATCCCCAGGGCAAGAAGTAAGAGCTACTTGGTTTTCTGACCCTCTGGCCCAGCTAGTTGGGAACAGGTGGTCCACTGGCCATCTTCTTCAACCAGGCCCTGAAGAAGGCACCTCGAGGCTGTGACTCTGCAGCAGTTGGCAAGCTGGATGGGCCAAGATGGACCTGGGTGGAGATGGGGCTCAAGAAATGGGTAGCTATTGGGTACCTATATATTTGGACAGAGTGGTCACAAAAGCCACCCAGCCAGCTTGGGAGGGGCTAAAGGCAAGGCAAAGGCTGCTGAATGCCTCACATGAGAGCTGACAACCCCAGGTCTCAGCGAAGACAGGGCTCCCAAGCTCCAGGCCAAAAGCAGTGCTGCTCAAGCCTCTTACTTGAGAAGTCTTAGGGATTGGGGAAGAGAGAAGACCGTGCCGTCTTCATAAAAAGTACCTACCACTTTGCTCCATTTTTCTGTTCTCCTACTGAGGCAGGAAATGAAAAAGCCAGCCTCACAGGCAGTTTGGGCTTCCCAAAGTTCAGGCATCAAGGAAAGCTCATCGAGTCCATTGCCCTGCTTCAGAGCTGCCCAATCTTCACCCACCTGCCCTGAAGCCCACAGTTCCAGCGGCCTGAGGGCACCCTCCTGGCCGGCCCAGGATGGCCCCGGACCCATCACCGAGGGCCAGCTCCATCAGTGGCGGGCAGCATGGCAGGATGGAGGCTGCGGGCTGTGTGCTTGGGTGTAGGCTCTTCTGTGTAGCTGTCCGGGCTGGCTGCCCCATCCAGGGAGCTGCCACAGCTGGAGTTGGGGGACAGCACATCCTGCAGGAGGTCGTCTGGAGGTGCACTGCCCCCTCCCCCCCCACCCCCTCCAGCAGCCCCCACCACGGGGTCCTTGCCAGGCTTAGCCCGCTGGGTGCCCTCCTCCTCCTGGTCATTGAGCAGCTTGGCCAGGAAGTTGATGTACTTCATGGCCAGGCGGAGGATCTCATTCTTGCTGAGCTTCTTGTCTGGGGGGTGTGTGGGAATCAGCTTGCGGAGCTCAGCGAAGGCCCCATTCACATTCTGCTGCCGCCATCGCTCCCGGCTGTTGGTGAAGATGCGCCTTACAACTTTGGTATGGGGACCTGGAGGGCCGGAGGACAAAGGTTAGGAGAGTGGTTGGAAATCTCCCAAGGATCTTCTCTTGTAGCGAAGGGGAAAAAAACATCCTTTAGGAAACTGGGGAAACCCAGAATGCCTCCTTTCCAATTACTTAGAAAACTCTTATTCATCCTTCAAAACCCAGTTCATCTGTGCCCTCCTCTCTGAGGACTCCTCTCACTCCCTCCACAGAGATCTAACCAACCGCCACAGCCCTAAAATGTCTGCATCTCCATTACTCCTGATCATTGCTGTATATTTCTATACTTGCCTCTCTCTCTCTCTCTCTCTCTCTCTCTCTCTCTCTCTCTCGGCAGTGAGACATTTGAGGACAGGGACTGCATATCATTCATTCATTCATTCATTCACTAACTCACTTGCACCAAGAGGCCATATTGCACTAGTTACAAAAACAAACTCTGGAGCCTCTGGGACCAGATTTTCTGGATTCAATTTCTGACAAGTACTCACTAGACAGTGACTCTGAGCAAGTTACTTAAACTTCCTCTGCCTTAGCTTCATCATCTGTAAAATGGAGATAATGCTAGTCACTCAAGTGTAAGATTATCCCATGGATTTAACAACTAACACACAAAGTACTTAGGACAATGCCTGTCTCAGAGTAAACATTCATACAATCAATGTCAGCTGTTATTACCGGTGCTTAAGTTATTTCCTAACAACACCGCATTATGCCAGGCTCTAGGGAATAATGGCGAGGAAAACAGAGTGACTGCCCTCCTGGACCTTACATTTTAGTGGGGATGACAGATGATGAACAAGTAGCAAACAGATAACAAACAGACAGGAGGCTGAATGTAAATAAAAGCTGGAAAGGAACTACTATGTTTAGCTGAGTGGGTTGGGGATGGCCTGTTGGAGGAGGTGACATCTATAAGGTAAGAACCTAAGGCTGAAGAAGAGCCAGCCAGGCACAGAAAGAGGGAATGGCATGTGCAAAGACCCTGAGCTGAAAAACAGCTGAAGCCAACCTGGCTGGAATTGTGCGGGTGAGATCAGAGGAGGCTGAGTCCAGTCCCACAGGGCCCTGCAATAAGGTGTGAGGATTTTGCTCTAAGAGCGATGAAAAGCACAGAGTAAGGATTTAGTAAATGTCTGCTGACTGCTCATGCTGGCAGATGGAATGGAGGAGAGAACAGAGACTGAAGGGAAAAGGACTTATACTGTGGGGTCTCTTCCCCAGGAGAGGAGTAGAAAGACAGCCATGAGCAGGCTCAGCCTGAGGCTCTAGGCAGGCATTGGAAGGCTGCCTCAGTCTATCCGAGTCCACAATACACTGATTATAGACTGGATCAATATTCACCAGCATTCATGTACTAAGACTTGCAGAGCAGTGGCAGACATTAGCGTGCATGGATCTAGCACATATAATGTGCAAAGCGCTGTGTTATGTACAAGCCTGACCTGGATTCCCAAAGACAGAGTTGGACCCTGCCAGTGCTCCCAAGCTCCTGGCTGGGGTGGCCGCTTCCCTCCCTATCACAGAGCTGGGCTCCCAGTAGTCTTCAGGAAGCTCTGCACACTGAAGGAATTGCCAGTATTGGCATATTTGTTTGTTCTCTTCCTATGACTCCTGGAACCAGACCTCAAAATGTGGAAACTCGGGTAAGGGGAAGAATAAACGAAAAGTCAAGACATCCCCTAAGGCCCACTTCTCATTAGGTCCTCAGCTAAGGAAGCTGGGACAGAGAAGACCTTGCCTCAAAGGTTAGTCTGTGGCCCAGCTCCTAGTGCCAACACTTCCTGCTTGATCATCTCTCCTACATGTGAGCACGTGCACGCGTGCACACACGTACACACACACACTCACACCATGTTTTCCCAGGAAAGATCACTCATCCCCTGCCACAGTGCCTCTGAAGCTGTCCTTCCAAACCCCAACAGGCCCCAGCCCAGCTGACTGTTTGCCAAAGGCCAGACCCAGGCTGGAAAAACACAGCACACCTGCTGAGCAGTCCTACCCTAGGTGCCTCAGAGGAAATAACTCGCTGTTCTCCACTTTCAGGCCAGATGGTGGGGAGTCCCTCAGCTGTGACTAGGGAGAATCTGCCCCTGCTCCATGACTAATGGTACTGATCTTGAGGGAGCGCCTACCTGGCGAGAGTGGGGAGCTTTTAGACTACTGTCAAGCTAGAGTTAGACGGGCTCCAGAAGGAGCACCTACCCTGAGCCAGGACCTAAAAACACTTTATCCCATTGTACACTTTCAAAAATGTGAGGAAGCTATTATTCCCCCCACTTTACAGGTGAGGAAACTGAGGCCCAGGGAAGTTCAGCAAAAGAACCACACCAAGTCCCAACTTTAGACCTTGCATTAGTTCTGCTACTATGCACTCTTTTTGATTAAATTTCTGACTTCAAAGTCCATGGGCTTATCCTGCACCCTCACGCCCTTCCCTTCACCCTCATTTCTGTCTATTCTTCTGTAGCTCTTTCCCAGAAAACTACCCGCCTCTCCGCACCTTTTTCTTGCCTGAGTCTGTCCATCCTGTGCGTCCTCTGTCTCTTTCTGGCTGGTCACTGAATAGGTGCTCAGTAAATACTGGTAATATGAGTAATGGCTTCCCTAACCCTCCTGCACTCCCCTCAAACCCTCACCCCCTTCTCATCTCTTGCCTATTTCTGTTGCTTCAGCCCTTCGTAGAAAATGCCTCTTCTCTGGGGAGCTTCAGGGCTAGTCGTACCTACTTCCTGTTTGGTACACCTACCTCCCCTCTGTAACGTAGCATCAGTGACACCCCATCACCCTTCCTTCTTGGCCCTACACTCCTGTTGCCCCAAGCTGGCTGGATCTTTTGAGGCCTGTCCCTTGTCCAGACTCCACCCCCTCTTCCCTTCAGAAGACTACCAGGAGCTCCCCTCCAGAAGCTCCAGCTCAGTGCACATCCCTCCCACCTGCCCCTTGCATGAATCTCAGCCTGGCTCCAAGGCCTCCAGCGTCTTTCCTTCAGGAGCCCTGGCCCAGCCATACTGAGCACTGGGAGCTCCAGGGATTTCCTCCACATCCCTCAGCTCTGAAGAGCCTGTTCTCCTGCCCTCCGGTGCTGGGCCCCACCTGCTACACCCAGTCAACCTTGGGAAGAGGGAAGGGGTCTTCAAACTCTCCACTCATTTAACTTCTTCCCTCAAGTTCAGGGCCAAAGACTACTCAGGAAGTATACAATAGCACGGCTAGGGGCCCTTCTCAGGAAGCAAAGGGGCAGTGTAGAATCTATGACGTCAGGAAGGGAACGTCAGGTCTCTGTCCTGAGTATGGTACAAGGGACAAGAAGGCCCCACAATGTAGGGACTTAAAAGGAATTGTACCTTTAAGGTGCAATTCCAGGCAAGGAGCAAACTCCAGACTCCAAAGAGGCCTTAAAAAGACGTGCAGGGAATCCTGGAGGGTTAGTGCTTAGAGTAGGGGCAACCTGCGTTTTTGTCCTCCCCCAGGATCCTTGCCCAGCGTAGGGGTGGAGCTAGAGTAGCGACTGCAACTGACCCTTAGAGGTTTGGGCTAAATGCCCATGTATTTTCACTCCCATGTCCCCTCTCCTCTCGTCCCAGCTCAATAGCAAGGCAACTTCTGGCAATTTGGGGTTCCAAGGTAGCCTGCCTATCCATGTGAGACACCTAAGAGTTGTCCCCACAATCCCTCCCCCAGGGTCTCTAACCACCATGAGGGGCAAATAACAAAGGTAGGGGCAGATAGACTCACCATCAGTAATCTCCATCTCATAAGGGGAGGGTCTCCTCTTCACTCGGTTGTTGGTGGCAAACATAGAGAAGGCATCTGGCTCCCCAAAGAACCCACTGTGGGAAGGAGCAGGCAAATCACAAGAGCACATGTAGGGTGGAGGTGAGACAGAGGCTCCTTAGCAATCCTCCAGCATGTCCTTGAGCCTCCCACCCCTGGAAAAACAAGGGCAACCCTGGTCCCTTCACTCCTGAATTAAGGGTAGGAGCATGAAACACACACACAAGTGTACACAGAACACTCCCATCCTCTCTCTGTGGTGAAACAAGCAAGGCATGGAAGGGTCACATACCCACACATCCCTACACACACACACACACACACACACACACACACACACACACAGAGTATCAGAGGTGAATATATGGAATGAACACCAAAAAAATGAACACACACCCCCCACAGACATACTCCCCTCCCCGCATCCAAGCACACAATCTACAAGCTCCACTCTCAAACAGGCACTCACACAGGCAGGCATTGCGTTCACACTTGGTGGTGTGCAACTCCAGCACCACAGAAGGGCACACTGTCCCCTCCCTCCAACCGCCCCCCACCTTCACCCTGGCCCCACGGGGCCTGTGGACAGACGACAGACAGGAAACCCTGAGTCACCACCGCTAACATGCTCCCTCCATCACCCATTTTGGACTCTCTATAGCTTTTTTCTGGAGTCTCCTGCAGACTCACTGAATGACCCACACTGTTCATTCCTGCCTCATCCGTTTGTCCCTCCCCCAACCCTGCCACCAGCTCTTCACCATCTCAGTGGCCTTGGCAGGGAAATGGACATCCTCACACCAAGGAGTGAAAAGCTCCTTGGGGCCAGAGACCACAGCTAGGGACAGAGGGGCTGGAGAAAGGAGGAGGGGATCTTTAGATGCAGAAGAGGGGGACCATTTCCACCCACTCTCAGATCCTTACCTCTTACCTGTCCCCAGAGGGCTGCAGCTTCCAGAAGGATTTCACAGTGGAGTACATTGAGACACACTCTTGCCTGGTACTCACATTCAAACACTCCCTTCCGTCGTCCCCTACCCCGCAACCACACAGCAAACCCTGCTTTTGCACACTCCCTTCTCGGCTTACCCACACCCGGGCGCGCTGCAGTCACAAGGCACCCCCGATATCTTCCCGCGCCCACTCACGCACGCGCTCCCCCCTCCACACACACGCTCACAGCGGGCTCCTTTATCACTTGCACAAGGGGACCCTAGTTTCTAGGCTCTGACGCCCATGAATTTAAACGACCCCCTCTCTTCTTGCGTTCCAGTCACGCATCCCACGAAAAGCAGACTTCCCCCGCCCCGGGGCCGTGACCGCCTGGCCCTCGCCCACCGCCCCGCCGCGCCCTCCCCCGGGGCACTTACCTGCCGAGTGTGGCCAGTGGCTGGCTGAGGCTGTAGAGCAGCGTGCGGCCGGGGGCGGCTGGGGCTGCCAGCGCGGGCGGGCTCAACTGCACCATCCGGCCGTCACCGGTCAGCTCCGCCGGGGCTGGAGCGGGCGCGGGCGCCGGGGCGGGTCCGGGAGGTCTGCACAGCTCGGTGGTCGGCACCCGATGGCGCGCTTCGGCCCCTGCGGCGTCGCGGCCCTTTAAGTCTCGCGCGGCGCCGCCCCCACCCGCGGGGCCGCCCCCCGGGCCACCGCGCGCTCCCAGCTCGATCACTGGGGGCTCGGCTGGGGTAGAGCGGCTCGTCTCCTTGGCGACGCCGTTCAGCAGGACCAGGTGCGGGGGGGCCATGCGGTCCTCGGCCGCCTCCCGTCCCTCTAGCGGGGGGTCACTGCGTGCCGCCTCGCTCGGCGGCCGCTCCGTCATCCTGCCGGCAGACAGACAAACAAGCGGGCGCCCGCTCTAAAAACCACCCCAGTCCACCGACGTGGGTGGGTTAAAGGGGTGAAGGCAGAAAGAGGCACTCACGCACCGAGACGTGAGAAAAGGCGACAAACTTAGAGCCACATCGACACACACTGGCCCTCAGGGCCTAAAGCCCAGGCAGGGCTGGGGAGGGAGTGATGGGTGGGGGAACCCTGGTTCGGGAGAAGAGCGGAGGGTGCCTGAGAGACACAGAGACTGAGGGCCGAAAGGACAGAGATAGAACAGGACGACTATATTGGAAGAAAAGGAATATAGCCATCGAAAGAAAAACAGAAGGGGAAAAAGGAGGAAGGAAATGTAGAAAGAGGCGAGAGAGAAATATCACCACCACCCCCAGTCCCCTTTCTCAGGCCGCAAGGGAAGAGGAGGGAACAAATCCCCGACCAAGTTCCTCCCGCCCCCCTTTTGGTTTTGGCGGGGAATCTGTCCCGGAGGTGGGGTGCTTTAAGAACCTCTCAGCGATACTGCCCCCAGCCTTCCGCCATACATACACCTAGAAACCTGGCGGGTTGCAAGTAGGGAGTGTAAGGAATGGAGGCTCCAGGACTGGGGTCCACTCTGCTGGAGCTGCCAGGGAATTATCCGCAGGAACCAGCACCCCTTTCAACAGATATTCGCCCTCTCTGGGGGTGTCTCTCTACACTAAGCAAATCCCCGTTGTATTCTGTGCAGCCGCTGGAAACCCCAGCCATCCTTTACTCCCACCGGGACTGGAGATGAGACATCTGGAAGGGAAGATAATGATCCTGGCCCTGCTTCCCTGCACACTCCACCCTCTTCTGCTCACCTGCACTCAGAAGTGAGGTGGAGTCTGGAAGGGAGGCCCAGCTGCAGCAGTATGGAGCCTGCGCATTCAAAGGGTGCCCCTGAGGCTATTGGGGTCTGGACCCCCATCCACATGTGGGAAGGGGCGTCATAAAGGCCCTTGAACTCTTCCAGCACTCCCCCCACCCTCTTTCTGCCTTGGTGCCATCCTCTGGGAAATACCTCCTAATGCATTTAAAAGCACTGCACAACAGCTCGAGTAAACATTATTACTGACTTGGAGACTGGGCCATCCAGGGAACCCCTGTTTTGCCCAAAGTCACAGGGATTAGCAGAACTCTGATCTCACTCTGCCTACACGATCCTCCATATATGCTCTCCCATATATACCCCTGGAGCCAAGGTCTCTCCTCTCCTCCAAAACCACACTCCAGATGACCACAGAGGTTCCACTGCCCCATGAGCAGTTTCTCCCATCACCTGCTTCAATGCCAGTGGAGCCAGGCCCCATCTGGAACTAAAACAAAACAAAACAAAAAAAAACAGGAGACTCTGGGCCCCGAGGTTGGGGATACTTGTAAGTTGTTTTCTTAAAACAAACAAACAAACAAACAAAAAAACCCTCGACAGGCTTCGTAAGATGTTCAAAATAAGTTTTCTGTTTTCAGAGTTGTGTAAGTGCTGTATTTTACAGCACAAAATAAATACATGAATATCCAATTGAATCCCAAGCAGAGCCCAACTAATCATTCACGGCAGCCATCGAGCTCCCATTCTGCCCCTGAGCTGCTCCAGACTGGAGTCAGCCTGGGCACTACCCTCCCACACCAGAAGAGAGACTGGATGGACTTTCTGAGAAACCTCGCCTTAAGCTCAGCTCAACTGCCACCAGACACACAAGCTGATGGAGAATACTATTCACATTGTGCTGTTTCCCTGGGTCTGCTAGCCCTGAGGCCCAGCCCAGAAACAACGGACTTCCCTGGGACCTGGTGTATAGGAGCTGCAAAGGCAGTGGGCCCACAACACTTCACTGGAAGCGAGTTTATGGTTATGGCAGAAACAATAGATCTGTATCCACAGAATGGGACCAACAAGATACTGCGGCCACTAGAAATGTATCCAAGGTATACCTGTAGGTCCTCCTGGTTCCTCTGCAGCAGTGAAATGCACCAGAATATACCATTCCACAGCCAAACACACAAGCCCCAAGGTGCTGGCTCCCTACCTTACTGTCCCAATGCGTGGTGTGCCCAGTGACACGTGCTTCAGCTCCAATTTCTAACCGAGTGACAAACGGTGTGCACTGCAATCGGACTGGGCTCAGGCTCTCCTTATGACACATTTATACCTTCTGATTAATTCCAGGGCTCCCCCGCTGAGCATAGGAGCGGATCCCCAGGAGTAAGGGGAGTATATACTCCAGATAAGTTGACTCTGGCCCCAAATGCTCTGCCAGAGACCTATAAATATCTCTATCTCCCAGGCTCCCTATGGGAAACCTATGATTGGTCCCCAGGGTCTGTGGCCAACCACTCCCTGCCTGCCCCTCCCCGGAACTAAGGAAAACCAAGCGGGTGGTTCTGCACCCAGTATCACCCAGGCCAGGGGTCCATGTTCCAGAGGATGCCACAGGAGGACTCACAAGCACCTTTGGTTGTCGCTTTCAGGGACTGACCCCATCACTTGGCTTCGTTTAAGATTACTAAAAAGAAAGCCTGAGTGATTTTTGTTTATTTGTTTTTATTTGAGGAAGATGAAGGAAGGGGAGAAGGTTTCAAACTGAATGGCATTACCGAATTGGACCATTACAATTCATCTGTCTTTGTGCAGCCAAGGCCCAGCCTGCAGCACCCAACACCGGATTTTCACTTTTGTTGTCAACCGCCAGAACGTTTCTGTGCGTCTGAACGAGTCAGGGGATCCCGGGAGCTCCTGGGGTTGGGGGGGAGGGGGAAGGGGAGGAGGAGGAGGAGGCGTCGCGCGTGGGGCACCTCCCAATTCCGAAACAGAGAATTGCTAATATGAAAAGAAGAGCCTCCGCCGTGTCTGGGGCTAGGCCACCGCCTTAAACCCGGCTTCCAGACCTCACACTGCACCCGCCCCGGGACGACCCCCTGGGGGAGCCCCAAGTACGCACGAGAACCAGCAGCGCCAGGGAACAGAACCACTTTCCCCCCGCCGCTCGGGCAGTGGAGGGGAGTTCCAGCGCACCGCACCCTAGGCCTTAAGCCCCGGTCAGGGCCCACCCGAGTTAAGACTGCGCTAGCCAGGATGGCTGCGGCCTTCTTCCTGCTGCCGGATCCTCTGGCGCAGCCAAGCCTGCGCCACCCGGATAGAGCCTCCCCAAAGTTAGGAGCTGTGGGCAACATCCACAGAACCGATGGCAGCCCTCTGGGGGACTAAGGTTCTGGTTCTATTCGTTGTAATATAAAGAAAGAAAGGAAGAATAAACTTGCTTTTGTTTGTTTGTTTAACCGAGAGTCGAAAAAGGAAAGGGCCCTGCTGGAAGCCACAGAGGGCACAGTCAGCGGCGGTGTCAGATCCCGGATACCCAGCTCTGGGTTCGCCCTCCCCGCCACCCCCCTTCTGAGACTGGACTGTCCTCTGTCCTGAGCCTCCCCACCCAGGCCGGAACCCAAGGCCTTCCTGGACACAGTTTCCACAGATAACGGTCCCCCAAAACTCACCTGGGGCATATTTAGAGAGACCGACCCCTCTGAATAGGATCTCCACTCCGCCGCCGGAGAGGGGCGGGAGCCGAGGTCCAGGTCGTGGACGCGGGTCTTTGCTTCCCCCTCTCTCGCTGAGAGACCAGCAGTTAGGCCGCGGTGTGGTCCTGGGCGGTCTGCCGCGCCCAAATCGAGTTTCCAGGAAAGATGGGGGTGGAGAGAGAGAGGGAGGGCGAGAGGGAGGGAGAGAGAGAAATGGGGGTCAATGGCTGGGAATTACCTCACGTCCTCGCCAACCAGCCCAGGGGAGCCGCGGGCAGCTTTCCGCCCCCAACCTGCAGGTGTTTGAAGCCTCCCCCCGGCCCATAAAAAAAAGAACCCTACACCTGACCAATCAGGAATAACTATTTAGTCCAACCACAACAACAGCCCCGCCGCAGCCTTCCCGGAACATTTGCGGACCCTCCAGCCGGGCGGTCCGGTTCAGTGTGGCCGAGAGTGTGTTCTAAACACTGGCGCGTCTACGCGGTTGGCTTGGGAGCCGTCAGGCCGGAGCGGAGGCCGCAGCGCACAGTCGTCCGCAGCCTGGCTTGGGTGTGTGTGTTGGGGGAAGGGGGGGAGGGTGGAATGTGTGTCGGCAAAGGAAAATACAGTCTGCAGGCCCTGGTCCGTGGGGCAGAACCTTTTAGCCCTCCCTCCATTCTCTCCATGCCCCCCCCCCGCCCACCTCCAACCCAAAGCGAAACCAGAACCCAATTCACAGACTGCTTTCCCGCAGGAATGGAGTCGGAACTGCAGGGATTCGAGAGGGTGGGGGTGGGGGGCTGTTATTTGATCTATCCAGGACCCTTCTTTTCTTCTTATTGATGGGGGGGTGGGGGAAGGAAAGAAAGAAAATGGGGACGAAAGGAGACTTTAATTTGGGAATGAGTGCACGATGCAGTGTGCTGATGATATTTTATTGAGTTGTACACTTGAAACCTGTATGGTTTTATTAACCAATGACGCCCCAATAAATTCAATTTTTTAAAAAGAAAGGAAGGAGGACGATAACCAATGCCTTCCCTCAACCATCTCTACACAACGAATTTCGATGTGTCGGTGCTCAGACCGGCAAAGAAGGAGAAAATTCTAATAATTCCTCGCAGCAATAAACAAGGCAAAGAGAAGGAGGGTAAAAACAAACCCACTATTGCTTTCCAGGGTGTCGCGGTAGCGAGATTTAGTTTGCTTATTTTCCCCCTTTGGGAGGTTTTGTTTAATTTGTTTTGCTTAAATCGTCCAGTTCATGATCACTCACGGAAGTTTTGGATTAATTGCAAAGGCCTCCATCTTTTTGCCCCGATTTTGGTGGAAATATAGGAAGAATTATTCCCTGAGGTTTCAATCCAATGCGACAGATTTTCTTTCTCTCTCCTAATCCACGTGGCAGAGGGGTGGGAAGAAGAATCCACTCCTTCCCGGTGTTTTACGTCGGGGCTCGTTTTTTGCTGTATGACCAGT